GTATCCTCTTCTGACACGCTGGAGTGTCGCTGGAGGTAAATTTGGGGTTTAATGACCCAAGTCCAGACGAAGTGCATTCCCCACAGCCAACACAGTTCAAGTAATGAAAAACCCGCTGACTTAAAAATGCAAAAAGAAAAAATGTTGGGGAAAAACATTGTAGATAAGTAACAGACACAAAAGAGAAACTTCTCATCTGTCCACCGACAAGTACCATAACATGTATTTCTGTTGGAGCTTACATAAAATCTGAATGTTCCAGTTACTATATGAAATAACAAAAATTACAAAGTACCATTGAAAGTGATGTGTAAAACTGAAAATAAGAATTGGTTTCATTATTAAATCTCACAGTGTCTACAGTAGAAATGCACAGAGTACCCTAATAGCTTCACACTTCAACAAACTAAAACAATGAACATGAAGAGGGGGTTGGTGAATAGGCATTATCACACCCACCTTTCTTTTTAAAAAAGCTGCAGAATTTTGGGGTCAGTTACAATGTTTTAGCTACCTGGGGAGCAGAAATGTCAAGTTTTACAATATTTTGGCTTATTCAAAAAGGCACTAACCTATAGCAATTAATCAGAATTCATAACCCGCAACCCTGATTAGAGTAAAATGAAATGTGAGTGCTATGGGCTACTGCAGTTTGCACATTACTATTTGCTGTATTAAATAAAAGTTAGAGAGTTCAGAAATATACTCTTATGTACTGTATTATTACTCCAGACTAAATTCATTTAATTCATGCCAATGGCTAGAATCAGCATGTAAAGCCTGAATGACCTAAAACTAATACACTTCACAAGAGGACCCGCCTCTGAGAAAACATTCCCATTCCTGTTAGGAATTACATTAAGCACAGTAATGATTATGGATACTGTTCGGTGTATGCTCAATTTAAATTAACTTTTTCAGACTGAACATCCAGATAGTATTTTTAAAAATCTTATAAATGTGTTTACATTTAACATTTGATAGAAACCCTTACTTTATACTGTGGTATGATTGCCTTCCATGGCTAGTTGTTAGCTTTCTAAGCTACCCATTTGAAGAAATCATCAGTTACAAAAAATAAAATAATTTACTGTAGTAGGAATACAGTTGTCAGGGGAAAGCTCAGACCTGTTTCACAGGTAATTCCGAAATAAAATTACTCTTCAACTGGGCAAAGGTACAAATTACTTATATGCCATAACATTTTGGAGGTAGTCATATTTAATAAGGTCAACTATCTCACAAGGAAACAATGGAAGCCATATGGTGTACACGTGAATGACAACCTATGGACAGTACGATCAAGAAAGAGCAGTTCCCACTTTGAAAGAAAACTGAAAATTCTAGTTGACTGTTATACTTCCATATGGTCCTATTTATTGACCCAGGACAACTATGCAGGTAGGACATCTGACTGTTCTCTGCCCTACCTAGTGCCATTATTGTTTCAGGTCAGTGACTAAGACAATAAAGCCAGACAAAGAGCATCTTCAAGAGGTCAGCAATGGCTGCCCAATATATACCTTTTATGTACTGAACAGTTTTCCTCTTCACTGTGCTAAATAATGTGTGTGTAGAGATTTGACCATGAACCCAGTCATTTTCCTTTAAATCACAGTAGATGTAACAAACACAGAATTGTACATTCTGGTTATGCTTCTCTGCACAAAAAACATGCATATATAAACAGAATCCAATGTGTTGTGAAGACACATCAAGGGGATTTCATAAGATCCAAGTCCTATCTCAACATCTAGAAATGGAGGGAACCCCTTTAGGGGAATAAAGGTGCTTATGTGGGAATAAATTTGTATGGAGATCTGATCTCATTGCTATAGGTTTCTCTACATTATTATTTTTTTTCCCCCAGGGGCCAGTATATCAACTAACCAGGAGAGATCATAATCCTATTTTCTGCGTAATACAGGTGTCTGGAAAGTGAAGATGACTGGATTGGAGGGATGTGCGTGTAAGGTATAAACATTCCATTCTGTGCCTAGGACCAACAGAGCTGAAGGATCCTGGTCCCGAACACTCCAATCAGTCTACTCATCATTCTACCTATACTGTGTGTCAGCCCCGCAGAAGTATGATCTGCACTTTATGGACCTCCTCTTTAATAATTTAGGAAGGATTTTTTTTTTTTTTTTTTTTTTAAAAAAGGTGCTATGAGCCAATAAAAAAAAAAAAAAACCTGCTTGTCGTGTGATGGTCATGGTTTAAAAAAAGGATAAGTGATTAAGCGTTTTGTTTTTTTAAATTAGGAGAAACCATTACTTTGACTATTCAGGGCAAAGTGACACGTTTTTGTGATAGGGAGCCCCAAGCCCACCGTTATGGTTCCCATATCCATCTTCCACCCTGTTTGCCCATGGGATGTGGAGTCTAATCTCTATGCAAGTTCAGTGTCATGCTACTCTCTCCATATTACAGTGTTCAGGTCCAGTGATGGGTTCCTCAGTCCCTAGCAATACATCCTTGAAGGGGGAAAAGTCATATACCCAGATGTGCTGGGTAATTATAAAGGCTCTGACAAAGGAATGGAGCAGTCAAGGAGAGCAGGAAAGGTAAGCATTAGTGTATGGGTGGGGGGATTTCTATCCACAGAACATGTCACTCTATCCTAAATAGGTAAAGTGATATATTCTCTTTAGAGTAGAAGGCCCTCTGTCAAGGTTTTTATGGCCATTTGTGTTCCAGCTGGAGAGATTCTCTCTTAGTTTGCCCTAGGGACCATTGTCCCTGCCAGTGAAAGTGAACAGAAATTATAAGTTTTCACCCGAGCAAGAGGTGATGGTAAAATGTTCTAAATGGAACAAAATGTCTAAGTAGAGAATAACACTCATTTGGGGAGATTTCCTCATTATCTGTTGCATCTCTAGGATGGAAAATGAAGGGAAAGCTCACAGTCGGAAACACACAGCAGCAAATAATAACCTAACAGAAGTTTTTAACCATTCACTACTCCATTTAAAAATAATAAATGATCATAAAAAAGTTTGGGCTATACATATGCTTTAAGTTATCTAAAATGACCCTAACCAATGACCAAACCATAGTTCCCTATATTCACTAGGATCAGGTATATATAGCACCTTCCATTTTATCACAGCATAGCAGGTATATTATCTGGAGCCCTTAATAAAATAAGTAGGCCACAGATATGTTTGTTCTTTGCTGCCAAAATAGTAAAAACACATTCTGGTCATAGTGGACAAGACTGGTGACTGTCATACCAGCATAACATAAATGACTAATGACGCTATCTAGAAACAGCAGATAAGTCCATTACACAGGTGTTTTCTGGTACACAGGAGTAGTTGGATTTACAGGGGCTTTGCATGTTTAAGCTGCTTTGTCACTGGGATCACTTACTCTAGGCAGTTTGTTCTGTCTAGCAGCCCAGCACACATTGATTTATATCCAAAAGGCCAAACAATTTTCTCATAAGAAATGCAGCAGTTTTTCATTTATCAAGAATCAATAATAAGATACATACTGACACATGCTAGCTGAAAACCACAGGCTTCTGGATTAATAGAACTGGGATCCCTACCATTATTATGCACTGTACAAGTAATGCATTAAAGGCATTATGAGGTATATTTCAAAAGACAACCTGCTTACACATCTATTTCCAGAATGTCCTGTTTTCCAGAAACATGTGGTTTACTCAGCTATGAGGGAACATTTTATATTAGCCTTGCTATAAAAGAAGGAGACTTATAACACAAAATGTTAAAGCTCAAGCCCTGACAAAGCTTTTTTTTCTACTTCGGGATAGAGTGGGGAAGTTAGAACCGTAGGCCGGGTACTAACTGCTGTAGATGTCCCTCTTGGGGAGATTTCCTCTCAGTTTGTGTATGATCAATAAAACAGAAAATAGGGGCAAATCTGCAGAGACAGCAACAAAAACAAGAATGAATAAAGTGACCTTTTGCTACTCTCTCTCTTTTCCACATTCTCAGCATTTTAACTACTATGGTAAAAGCCAAGTTAAAGTGCATGTGACCATTCACAGCCACTGAGTCCACTGTGTCTACTGGGAACCATTTGTGCAAGTAGCCTTCCTATGTATAAAGTGAATGAACATTCCTTGTGTCACAAAACAAATTGTTTCCACTTTCATGAACACTCGTAGATATTTTATATCTACAGATACGTGACCTATAATGTAAACCACACTGCTTTGACACATAACAGTATTCATTCAATAAAGGAGCAAGAAATGTACAAAATGCAGTAGTCTAGAACTGTTAATCAGAAATAATCTTTCACTGACTGGACTTTAGTAATAAGAGGTCTCCTTGGTTGCTAACTTCATTTTGCATATTATGATTGCTCTTTTTGCTGATTTATGGAATGAGCCTGAACAAGAACAAAACCTACAATACAATAGGCTATTCTGAAATGAATCAATTTTACATAGATGGTTTTCATCCATAACCTATTACACAGAGTGTATGCAAACCATGTAACAGGCTAATAGGTCAAAGGCCATTCAGCTGAATAGATCACCGATTCACCTAAAAACACTTCCAAAAGAAGAAAGCATAACAGCTTAATTAGTTCTACATTATGTAAAAACTAGCAATAATTTAAACAGGGGAGTTATAACTTAAAAGGTGGCTTTTCATCTTCTAAATCACCAGTCAAAGCTGTAGACTAGCAATAGTTCTCCCAGAGCTACATTTAGGCTACAGATGCATTTTACTGGAGATGAGTTTGAGGGATACTAAAGGACATACCCACTTCAGAAACCACTTACGGCAAACTCTGGCAATACCAACAACTGTGGTACATGCGTGTCTTAAAAGAAAAATGGATACAAATGTGTCTTGATGCAATACCTGTAAACTGAAAAATGCATCAAACATTATGGTTTTAAACTATTTAAAGTCAAAAGGACATTAGATGAGTAAGTGCAGTATTCTTCATGTGCAGGTCCACCACAGTGGGCCTGCTTCACTTGCAACCTACTGGAAAGGGTGCTCCCCTCGGACAATGTGTGAAGAGAATTCATAGCGGTCATGACTCCTGTGACCACAAATATTACATTCTAGTGGGTCCCGATATCCATGACAGCCCATGTGGATAGTATACATGACATGATCCAAGAAAAGCACACGGCAGTGCTCACATTTAAAGGCTTTGATCTGCTCTCCTTCACCATTGAAGACTCGATAGACATCTTTGGAAGAGCTCAACGTGGCCTTTGTGGCATCTAGAGCTTTACCTTCTTCCTTGGTATACTCTGGGCTTTGCTTTCTCTTGGGGTTTAAGGCATGGTTCCCTTGGTATAACGGTCGATCATCATGACTGCTTTCTGAATCAGTGGTGTCCAGACAGCTGTTGCTGGGTGAAGCCTCTCTCTCCTGGTGGTGACTCTTTGGTCTGATGAGGGAGATAGGGCCATCAATGTTATTGTCATTGCTGTCTGATGTTTCCCTGCTGGTTGGCCTCTCCACCCTGCTCGGATGGTAGACCTGAGGGTAAACTGGACCAATAACAGGGGGGACCTCAGATATGGCGCCAGTGGAATGATGTATTAGGGGTCTTAGGGCATCTGCTCCCAAGTAGGTGATGGCGTTGCTAATGGCCTGGTCCATCATTTGAGACTGCATTAATTCTGCTTCCTTTTCATAAGCCAGATTCATGTCATAGTGCAAATCTGGATAACCATACTTCATAAGCTTCTCACCTGCAGACAACAACACTGACAATGAGCAATGTTATCCAACTTAACAGGTAAAAACATACATTCAGCTACAATACAGTAGAATGAAATTAGAACACCAGTCATTATCCTCCCTATGCATAACAGTGCAATATGTTTTTTAAAAGTTTCTATTCCTAAATATATTTTCTCCATTTTATCCTGTATAAGATATTACATTCTCTTCCTAAATCCCCTCTCCACCTTGAGCTTCTCATAACACCATTCTGTAGCCTTTTTTTATTAAATAAATGCCAAAGATTGGTTAAACTAAAAAAAGAAAAATTAAAAAAAAAAACAAAAACGTTTGATGGAAAACATAGAAACCAGATGCTTATTTACCTTTCAGGGTTTTTTCCCCTCCACAAAATCCCTGAAGTTCCCATTGCACTGCACCAATCATAACCACAGCTGCTCCTTAAAGCAAATCTGTCTTAAACCTGAATAATTTAAACTGCATAAGATGATGACCATGTATCAAAATGATCCAGATGACAAGCTTGACTTTCTGTGTGATGTTAGGCAGGGCCATGACTCTCAAGTCTCCCTGTAGGTCAGTGATGCAGCCCATCACATAGTACCAATATGGGAGAACTGGAGAAAAAGAAGGTGGATCCAAATTCAACTTTTACAGTAAAAATTTGGATTTTTATAGAATTTTAGCTGCCTAAATCTCTGGATCAAGAGATTGTTTTGCCAGTTTTGTCCATTTTACAAAGAAAATTCTGACTTTTGAAAGGGCTACTTTAAGCTAAATGTAATAATTGTGGCTGTAGAGAGGGTGGCTTAAGGATTTCAAAGTATGCTTCTACCGTGATTTTTTTTTTCAAAAATATTGATGGACTAAAGCTTTCATATTTTGTAGGCTGACAGATAACACACTGTACTTTATATTTACAAAAAAGAACTGCCTGATAAGTAGGAAAACTCCAACTTGCAGAGTCCTAGCAGCCATCTGGAGAATGTGGTTTAATAATTATAGGTTAGTCACTATATTAAAGATGGACAGTCTACTGAGAATCATGCGAGATTTGCTTTTGGCATGTCTTCAGCAAAAAGTGAAATAAAGTTTGTTATTCCTAAATACTCCTTACACAAAAACTCGTACAATATCTGGGTTTATTTTCCACACATGACATCAAAGAACATGATGCAAGAATGGTTCACAGGTAAATACCACCTCTTCATAGAAAAAAAAACAAAAAAAGAAAAAAAAAAAAAACAAAAAAAAGAGCAGATCTTGCATGTAGTTTGTCTGAATCTGACCAAAGATAAGGTGTTCATAGAGCTGACAAAATTAAGCTCAAACTGCCCTAGACTCAAGTAATTTCATAGACATGCCAAAATCTTGCCCAATCTGCCCTAGAACTCAGGTATTTAAGAGGCATGATAGGATCATGTCCAATTTGTCTCAGATCTCTTGTAATTCATATAAATTATAGGATCATGCCCAATCTGCCCCAGATCTTTGGTGATTCATAGACACAACATTATCATGCCCAACCTGCCACAGATCTCAGGTGAAGAGAATGGCCAGAAATGTTTAATAGCCCTCTCAACTGTGTTTTCCTGCACCAAAGATGTCTGGCTATGCTTTCCTTCCAAATACAAGCATGCCTGGGTGATCTGCATGTGCCTATTTATGTGACCTTCTGTTTAAAATGTAATCTTTGAGTAGTCCGATAAAAGTACCACCACCCTTTAATTTTAATAGCCAAGGTGAGTTTTTAGGTTATTAGGCACGATGGTTTGTCCTGATTAGGTATTTGAAAATCCTGGGAGGTATATATGCTGCCTTCCAACCAACAGCAGATGACATCTTTACTAAGAAAGTGCTTTGGGTCCCGTACGCTGTGAAATTTATCAGAATATCACAAATATGCTGTGATAATTACTGGTGTTAGCTAGACATTTTAGAAGTGATTATGTGTGAAATATGTATGAAATATGCAAGCACATATACCATTTCAGTATGCACCCAGGGACTTTCCCGTGCTATGTTGCTGAAAACCTGACTGCTTCTTTCACATTTAGGAACGTGTGTAAGATGGATGTTATTTCCTCTCATAGGAAATAGTGGTTTACCTGCACCGAATATTCATATTATAAAAACTGTTAGGGGGAAATGTAATGCTCCTGCCATAGTGGACTGACTTTAGTTACAAAAATATTTTTTTTTTTCTTTAAGTAAATTATGCTGAACATAAATCATGTAATCAATTTGCTTTTAACCCCATTTAGGAAACATATTTAAAGCCGAACCCATGGCAGATAAAAAGGAAAATTAATGCAGTGATGTATAATGATAAAAAAAATGCATTCATTTATGTTTAAATGCAATTAAAGTAGGCTGTATATGTCTTGACATCTGCCTCTCGTAATCCAGTGCAGGGCAGCATTTAGAACAGGAGAGGGAGGACAATCACTGGAAGACAATCAGTCTACATATACATTTTTCAACTGTGTTAAAACAGAATTGCAAAAACATTTTGGACATTATGCATTCATTGTAAAGAAAAGGAGGTGTTGCCTACAGCATCCAGTCAGATTCCAGAAATCCTAATTTTTGTACGGGTCAGAAAACCAAAAAACACATCTTGCTGGTCTCTATATGCAAAACCTCCATCCTTTCCTCCACCTTTATACAATTCTGGATGGTATTCGGCTAAACACTATTGCACTATTTTGTTTGTGAAAAAGGAAAAATGATTCCTTCAATGTACACAAAGTCTCAGTATGTCTGCATATGAACTTTTAAGGAAAATGGTCATCAAAAAGACAAAATTGCTACTAGGCCAGGAGCACAGAAGGTTGGGCTGAATTCTATCATGGGCCTGTGATTCTATAATGCACCCCCCCCCCCCCCCCCCCCCCCTCACCTTGTACATCTGAATCATTCAAGCCAATTCACGGTGTGGTCAAATCGTGGTTTAATTTAAGGTAAACACATATGTTTGTCATAGCATGCATTTGTGTGTTGGGCAAGTGTTAAGCCGGCAATAGATGGATCGAATCTTGGCCCGTTCAGCAGGGACTGACCTAGATTAGATCCATTTATGGGTAGGCTTATTGTACCCAAGTAAATCCATTGATCGATTCAGGTACAACCAGCATGTTGAATAAACTATGGCCTGCCTTAACGCAGAGACTGCTGTGGAACCCCTTGATCACATAATGCACCAGGGCCAAGAGGAGTTTTACTATGCCTTCATTGAGACCTAAACCGTTCAGATACATTTGCTATGATCTTATTGATATATATAGCCATTTCACACCTCCCAATGCTTTAAACTTTAAATCCAGTACATTTTAAACCATATCTCATCAATACACCAAAATCCCAGCACATTTGAAGCATATCTGACAAACCAAGCCTCTTTAGGTTCCACCTATTTCTTTCAAACCAAACAAGGTCTATTCTGTCAAAATAGACTTGTTTGGGAAGCATGTTTGCTCCTAAAAGAGTGCTGAAATAAATAGTGATTGGTCAAGCTGTTATGAGAGTTTATGCATGGAGTTCTAAGGAAAAGAAAGTAGATGCTTACCCACAAACTTCTGTGGGGTGGAGCTCTTACGCTTCCCCATGTTGCTGGCAATTCTCTCTATGACAGCTGGTCTTTCAAAGGGTATCAAAGACATGTTGTTCTCCATCAGGATCTCTGGATTCTTACACTCATCCATTGGAGATGCTATACAGAACCAAAAGTCCACATCAGAATCACTTGCTGGCATGAGGAAACCAAGCAAGACACAGTTGATTTTAGTTAAAGCTAATCTAAACTAAGATCCTCAGGACTTTGATGATACCTATACACCATTCCTCTAACATCTCCAGGTCTTTTCAGCTACTAGAACTCTGCATAGGTTTAGGAGTTATTACTACTTTGAAAGCCTAGATTAACATAAGCCTCTGAAATATTGCTAACTGCAGATTACAAGCAAGCTTTTTCTAAAATGTATTATTAAAATATGGTAAAACTTTACAAAATCTATCAGAACTAAATATATTTAAAATGGATGTTGTATACGGCTGATATATATTAATCCTGTATATTAATCCTATCTGGCATCAGACTTTAAAGTGGACCAGTAAAGATAGACATGAAGCTCCCATTGATAACTTGTTTTTTTTTTTTCCCCAAGTGTATGTACACCCCAACAATGAACTTCTTTTATTTGGCCCCTTTTATTCCTTTTAAATAATCCATGGAAATTTTGTTACATCTGTTTAAGAACTGCACAAAAAACACATGATCCTGCCAGATATCTCGTCATCTGATAATTATCAGCGATCTCTGTCTGCGCTGCAGCATTACAATCACATTGTGAACAGTTATCTCTAAAGAATACAAAAATTCCCCTCTTTCCACCTCCTCCATATTATGAGGTAAATGAAAGGGTGAAATGTTCTGTAATCCTGTACTAAAGTGACATTGGCCCACCATAGATACATACAGCGAGAGTAAGCCTTGTCATTCTATGGCAGCAAGTGTGTTACTGGCAGGATCACCAGGTGAAAAAGGGAAAGGTGAAAAAAATACAATTAAATTATGCCACCACATCTAGGGACTAGTGTGCTGCAATATATTCAATTTTTGTTCTTGTGTTCAGATGTAATTACATTTCAGGCTCCAAGGCTGTTATCCCAGCTTTAAGACCTGTTGGGTCCATGACTTGTAGCAAGCATACAGGCAGGAGTGTCTGAACAGCCTGAACTCTCATCCTGAATACTTATTCTAGGTCAGTTACTCAAAAGGCACAGAAGTTAGAATCAGGATGGCAGCCCTGAAGCTTTCATCTTTAAAAAAAATAAAAACAAGTCAGCAATGGCAACTCCCATTTTTATACCCTTGCGGGTGCTCTTTGAGCCTCTGTCTACAATGCTATAGAATGTTCAGCAATAAATTTGCAGAGCGAAACAACCTCTTAATTTCTGTAACAGTTTTGCACTATTATATACAGTATATATTTGCATGTGTTATGAGCAGCTCTCTTACATAAAGAGTGTGCTTTCTGATCCTCTAGTTTCACTTACAACGATAACAAAAGCTGTATTGCAAAAACACTAAAATCAAATATTAGAGACTTGTGTAGTGCAATAAAGGGGAAAAAAAGAAGAAGGAGTCTGACTGCTTGCTTAGGGCAAAAAAAAAAAAAAGAAAAAAAAGTTCTCTTTCTTCAAACCCTTCTGATACTGATGCCTTTGGTGCTTCCACCACTACTCCAACACTTCCCAATGATACCTGGAAACCACTGATGATTGTATGACAAAATATTTGTATAAACATGCATGGTCAGATCAGCTAACCATGCATAGTTATGTCTATGATTGAAGGAGAACGATGTTAAGCGCTTACAAATCATAGGGGAGTAATTCAACCATGAATGGCTACAAAATTCCAACCTGATTGATTCTTTCCGCCAAGAATGATAGGCAAGCAAATGTCTGCTATATTTGGGAGTGTTTGGAGACATTCGATTACTGGTTGATCTTACCACATATGGTTAGATCAGGCAGAGTGGCTTTTATATCTGTAAGCATTAACTCCTTAACCTCTTCTTCATTAAACTTTGCTAGGATAATGTTTCTCCTTTTTCCCTACTCGCTATTAAGAAAAGATTTGAAAAACAAAATGGAAAAACCCACCTCTGTGCAGCTGTCACATGAAGCATATCACTACACAGCAGAATGATTGTTTTTACATTATGACCATTTTTTTTTAACCAAAGGTAATTATAAAAGTAATGAGCAGTAGGAGGGGGTTTCCCAAGTATTTTTACCCAGCAAAGAACAAAAAATGCAGATGTGATTTCAAAAATACTGACTGGATGTAGACAACACTAAACAATGTGCATAGAAGCATTTGTAAAGAAAATTGATACACTGAGAAACACTGAGAAGGGCAATTGTACATGGGCCTTTAACCATTTGCCTACTGGGCACTGTCACCCCCTTCCTGTCCAATTTTCTGCTTTCAGTGCTGTCGCACTCTGAATGACAATTGAGCGGTCATGCAACACTGTACTCATATGAAATGTTTATTTTTTTTTCACACAAATAGAGCTTTCTTTTGTTGGTATTCAATCGACAATGGGTGTTTTTATTTTCTGCACTATAAACAAAAAAAAGAGCAAAAAAAATTTGAACAAAAAAAGTTTTTGTTTCTATCATAAAATTTTGCAAACAGGTAATTTTTCTCCTTCACTGATGTGCGTTGATGAGGCTGTACAGATAGGCAGCACTGATAGGCGGCACTGATAGGCAGCATTGATTGGGTGGCACTGACGGCACTGCTGGGCAGCACTGATGGGTTGCACTGCAGAACACAGGTGGGTGGCACTGCAAGGCACTGACCATCAGTGCCGATCACTTCTCTGACAACTGCCAGTTATTGGCAGTACTTTCCTCATGCTGTGACAGCGTGAGGAAAGTGCAGCCGATAGCAGATCACTGCGTAAATACAGTTGCCAGTTATCTCATTGGACACAGCTGGTCACATGGTAAAAGGCCGCTGTGATTGGCCGTTTACCGTATCACGTGATCAGTTGTGTCCGGGTGTGCGCTGCTGGGGGTGTGTTCTGGAATGATATCCAAGGATGTCGTGCCAGAAATAGACAACCGCGCTGTAGCCGTCCTTCGACTATAGCATGGTAGGGAAGAAGTTAAAGAGTTATTGTTGCTAGATAATTCAAGACCAGTACAGTTATCTGAGCACCAGCCAATATTACCCTGTACTATCTTTCTCTTTCTTCTGACTAGGATGTAATTGTACATTACATCCTAGTCAGAAACAGCTTAGCTTTGCTCACACATTCATACCTTAGGGTAAGCTGCTTCTTACATGTAGCTGTGTAAGTGGGATTTAGGGATGCAATAGGGGAAAGTGGCCTGGACACAGTGTAATAAATGCTGGCAATTGAGGTCTACTGCACAGCAGTGTGCTGGTGATGCTCTCTGTTAGGTCACTGCCCAGTTGTGCATGTTGTGGATCAGTGTCCAGTCTCATGATGCATGTTGTGGGTCAGTGTCCAGTCTCATGATGATACATGTTGTGGGTCAGTGTCCAGTCTAGTGATGGTGTATGTTGAGGGTCAGTGTTCAGTGTGCTCATAGTGTATGATGTGCGTCAGTATCCAGTCTGGTAATGGTGTACACTGTGTGCACAATTATTAGGCAAGTGAGCACTTTGATCAAATCTTTTTTTTGCATATTGTCCAACTCCATGCTGTATAAATTTGAATGCTTATTGGATTTAAGAATATCAGGTGATGTGTATTTGTGTAATGAGCGAGGGTGTGGCCTAAGGAGATCAACACCCTATATCAAGGCGTGCATAACTATTAGGCAGCTTCTTTTCCTCAGGCAAAATGGGCCAAAAAAATAAACAAAATTGATTTAACGGACTCTGAAAAGTCAAAATTTGTAAATAGTCTTTCAGAGGGATGCAGCACTCTTGAAATTGCTAAGATATTGGGGTGTGATCACAGAACCATCAAATGTTTTGTTGCAAATAGTCAACAGGGTCACAAGAAACATGTTGAGAAAAAACAAAAATGCAAATTAAACAGCCAAAGATTTGAGAAGACTCAAACGTGAAGCTACCAGGAACACATTATACTCCAGTGCTGTCATACTCCAGAATTGCAACCTACCTGAAGTGCCCAGAAGTACAAGGTGTTCAGTGTTCAGAGACATGGCCTTAGTAAGGCAGGCTGAAACCCAACCACCACTTGTTCTGAACAAGATACATAAGTTGAAACATCAAGACTGGGCCAAAAAATATCTGAAGACAGATTTTTCAAAGGTTGGACTGATGAGATAAGAGGGACTCTTGACGGAGCAGATGGATGGGCCTGTAGCTGGATCAGCAATGGGCACAGAGCTCCACTTCGACTCAGATGCCAACAAGGTGGAGGTGGGTTACTGGTATTATAAAATGAGCTAGTTGGACCTTTTCAGGTTGAAGATGGACTCAAAATCAACTTCCAACCCTACTGCCAGTTTTTAGAAGACACTTTCGTCAAGCAGTGGTACAGGAAAAAGTCTGCATCTTTCAAGAAGACCATGATATTTATGCAAGACAACGCTCCATCGCATGCAATGAAGTACTCCACTGTGTGGCTAGCCAGTAAAGGCTAGTAAAGTAAAAGGCAGTAAAGGCCTTAAAAGATAAAAGAATGACATGGCCCCTTCCTCACTTGACCTAAACCCTGTTGAGAACTTGTGGGCCCTTCTTAAAAACGGAAGATTTACTGTGAAGGAAAACAGTACACCTCTCTGAACAGCGTCTCTGAGGCTGTGGTTGCTGCTGCACAAAATGTCGATTGTCAACAGATCAAGAAACTGAGAGACTCCATGAATGGAAGGCGTATGACTGTTATTGAAAAGAAGGGTGGCTATATTGGCACCGATTTTTTTTTTACATGTTAGAAATGTTTATTTGAACATTTTCATTTTTCATTTAGTTGCAGAATAATTGTGCACACTAAATAGTTGCCCAATAATTGTGCACACATAGATATTCTCCTAAGAAAGCCAAAGCCTCACTGTTAGTGATGTTCTGTACTGGGGTCAGTGCACAGTTTGATGTTGAATAAACTACAGTGGTCATTAATGAAGAGAATCTGGGCATAAAGTGTCAATGGGACCACTTCTTATTTTTGGTACTGAAGTGCACTGCTGTCTTTGG